ATGGTAATGTAGTTTGAAAAATATATATATATATATATATATATATATTTATAATCTTTAAAATTTTAAACTTCAGAAATAGAATTTTTTAAATTAGAGATTATTGAAGTATCTGTTAGAAAAATTTAGATAATTCTGTAGATTTTTTCTTTTATATATAAAAAGTGGAAAAGTCTGAAATTTGCTCGATAACAATCCTATTAAACTTTTCTCATAAATCCTTTATCAAGCGATCGATAGTCGAGTTATAGCTAACAGCATTTTGTTATCGGTTATACTTCCACTTCCCATTTTCTTCACGAATGTCACTTTGTGCATTTCCTGTATTATGTCGACTCTAATCGAAACAGCGGGACACCCACAACGGTGATTATGTTTTCTTAGCGAATTACCAGACCTCTGCAGTTTCCATATTCTATTAATTAACACGAATATTAAGCTATTAGTTGATTTGTTCCAAACAGTTTCTTTACTATACCGTTAACTCATTCGCTTAAGTTATTAAATCTGATTAACTACTGTAAAGATTTTACCATGTTAATTACAATAACATCTCTTCATTGTTCTTCATCTCTACATAATCTTATTAGAATATTGTACAGAATATTCTTTAAATCTTAATGTTTAGGAGATCGTTTAGAGCAGTGATGAGCAATCTTTTCTGGATGAGGGAACTTCGTTTTCTTCATATATTTTTTCTCAAGGAGTTACCAGGTTATAAATCTGTAAATACCAACATACTTCACAACCTCTAATGTATTAGGTACTAAAATAATATATGCTAATGTCATGCAAATTAGTAATATATAGTTTATTCTCATCTTTTTACTAGTCAAGTTTTACTTTTTTAGAAGATCATGAGGAATATTCTGTTGCAATTCCGAGTTGTTAAGTCTACACAGTTGCATTCTTTTAGAAGAGTGTATAGAAGTATCATTTTCTTCTATACAAACTTCATTTTGTAAACGATTGTTTGAATATATGATCTCAACGGAATCTTGTTAAGATTAGAAAATATATTTATTACCATTTTATAAAGTTTTTTGGGGGGAACATACTGTACATTGTATTCTTAATAATATTCCCATCAATCATATTGTCCCATTTGTGATGGTATCATCCTATTCAGGGATGATAATTCGATGCTCTTATTTTCTAAAATTTCTCGCATCCGACTGAAAAGAAATTCACGGATTTGATGATGAGTGAAATGTCGTGACAGATTGTTGGAAGTAAATTAGAGTGTTAGAATGAAGGGTTTTTATGTGTTAATGACTTATGCTAATTCTACTCGAGTGCCGGTTCCAAAAAAATAGAAAAAAGAAAAAAAAATTACAGATAAGGAATGATAAATTTAATGCATCGTGTAATTTGACAGGAACCGTTTAATTTGTATGTTTAATGCTATGCAAATCATATTTTAAGTACAGGATCTTACGCATAAAAAAGACTTTTTTTATATTAAATTATCTTTTGTTTAATAATTAAATACTACCGAAATATAATCTTATTAATGATTTATTACATTTAATAAATAATAAATTAAAAAAACACAAAAAATCACTTTTGTAACGTTTTCGATTTCATTTAGTAATGTCACTGAAATAAATTTATGGATAATTTAAATATATATACATATATATAAAAAAATTCGAATGATTTTTTTTAAATATAAATTTATTTTATAAATAAAATTCAAATTATATAAGTACTTGATCAAGAAAATTTATGTTTTTTTCTATAAAATTCTTTACTATTTTTAAATTATTATTAAAATTTCATGAGAGGTAAAAATACAAATATATTCAGAATTAGAATTTTTTTACACTATTGTTCTCTAACTTGAATCATCTGTAAAAACTTGAAATTTTTTCCTGCCTTTTGGAGCTTCCTGTTAGAGAAGTTTTATTGTACTTTATGCTACTAATTTTTTGAAGTGCTTTCATAGGTCTAATCTGACAAAACAGAATTACTACTGATAATAACAATGCACTTTGTATTCAAAATGTTTGAAAGTTTTTATGTAAGAATTCTTGTAACAGAGATCTGACTTTTTATAAAAANATACGTGAACCGTTCACAGCCCGGCACGCGTATTTGTAAAATCTAAGTGACTCGTACAACATGGAATTCATATAAAACGGAATAATCAACAGTGTTATAGGGGGGTCGACTTGTATTTAAATTTATGATTTTTTTTTTTTTTAGAGTAATTTTCTATGTATATAAATTTGTATTATTAGAATATCCGCTATTATATAACGTTATGAGGATTAGTAGCATATTAATAGTACTTTTATCTTTAAAAAAATTCTTATTGTTATATCAAAGTAAATGTTAATTTATAGCATAAAATGCTTATAATAATAAATTGTAATTCTTATTGTCATATTTTAGATAGCATCAGATAAGTATTTTCTTTGTTTATAGTTACTTATTGCATATGATTCTTCACTATCTTTGCTCCTTGAAGGGTGTAAAATAAGCAAAATTTAAAGTTTTATAAAAAAAAATTATTAAAAATTATTCTAAATTAAACACGAATATTAAATTTAATGTAATTTATTATTATTATTATTTTTTTCTATGTCATATATTCATTTTCGTATAGAAATATATTATTACGTTGTTTGTCTGTCCTATTTTGGTAATGTTTCGAACACCTAATTAATCTTTCCCACCCCGAGGACGCGTTGAGAAGGAGGTGCAGTCGAACGTGTTTAGCAATGGGTGCTAGAATAATTCTATAGAAAAACTGGATGATCCGGATCATATTTGGCAATTCTAAAAAAGTATATAATTTTAATATCTGGTCATAAACTTAATAATATTTCATTATTGTGTAATAATTATTTGATTAAATAATACTCTTAACACAATTTCTAAAACGTTTATTTTAATATTATATTTCTACTCTTTGTAATTATTTATCATTATGGAATTAATTAAATTAGTAAATTGTGTAATGTAATTAAATTAATAATTGTATTTTATTCATTTATATAT